TCTTTATTTTCTTAGAGAATAGGTTATTTGGCAAGTGCTAGCACCACCCACCCGCCCTTTAGAAAGTAGATCATTTGCCAAAATCAGTCTTATCGTAGCGAGTACTACATACTAGATTTTTCAGTTTTTCAGTCTTTGATTTCTCTAGGCAACTGAAAAAACTTTCAATATTTACTTCCCGAGCGTAAGCTACATTTATGTTTTCTCGATATTTCATGACCCCTACAGTACGAAAAAAGCAGTCTCCCGTTGCCGTCTGTCTGTCTATCTGTCTGCCTGTCTGGTGTCTGTATCTATTTTTAGTAGGCACGTAATCTCCGAAACTGCTGGACCGATTGTTGTCAAATTTTGTATGTATATTAGAAATATCATGTAGATAGTTAAATACTACCCAAAATTTGGATAGTCATCCCCACCAACAATTTGATGACGTCATTTCATTGAATTGTATTTTAAAATAATTTTAAAGTTATATAAAAATATACTCCTATACTTGTAGTGTACGAATCCGCTTTTAGTTTTTTCGGTAAACGTTCAAATTTTCGCAAAAATAATTCCACACTGCGACGGTGCGGTAGTGGTTCGATGGCGAACTTGGCCCTTTACTTTTTTTCTTGCATTGGTAATACGCTGCGACTACTTTTCTTTTGTACTGTGACTAGTATTATCCATGTTGATGACTTCATTACCAATTTCTTATTGGTCAAATTAAGAACGAGTCACCCCATTTTCTCGATAATGTGAAAAAATCGTCTTTATAATAATAATAAAAATAAGAATTATAATATTCAGATCATTTTGTTCGAATGTGGTTTAATTCAAATCAAACAAATTTCTACGTGACATTCTTTCGATGTACTCCTATAAACATAAATAAATAAACACTCGAGAATGCTGGATATGTTTCACTGTACTTTAGGAGCGAGGGAAGTTCTGGCGAAATAACTTTCGACCAATTATTTAATTTTACAATTGGCAGTTTTCTGATTTCTCAATTATTTGTTTTTTTAAAATATCAAAAAAATGGATGCTTATTTTTTAAATTTTCGATTTGCCATGTTTACCGTAACTTTAAAACATCTGAAAATTTTGTTTCTAATTTTCAATTCTTGGATTTTTCGATTTTTCAAAATCACGATTCGAATAAATTTGTTCTTTTAGATAAAAATCGAAAAATGACAAATCGTGAAAAGGAAAAATTTTAACTTGAGAACTTGAAATATTAAAAATCAAAAAATTCCAAAATTGAAAGTTAAAACTTGAAAAATCAAAAGATTGGAATTAAAAAGTTATCCGATTTTTCAATTTATCATTTTTTGATTTTTAATTTTAGCAAGTACTAGCCCCATCCACCCACCCTTTATTTTCTTAGAAAAGTGGGTCATCCGCCAAAATCAGTCTTATATTGGCAAGTACTAGCTCCCCGCCCACCCACCCTTTGTTTTCTTAGAAGAGTGGGTCATCTGCCAAAATCAGTCTCATCTTGACAAGTATTAGCCCCGCCCACCCACCCTTTATTTTCTTAGAAGAGTGGGTCAACTGCCAAAATCGTTCTTATCTTGACAAGTACTAGCCCCGCCCACCCACCTTTATTTTCTAAAAAAATATGTCATTTGCAAAAATCAGTCTCATACTTGCCAAGATAAGACTGATTTTGGCAGATGACCTACTCTTTTAAGACAATAAAGGGTGGGTGGGCGGGGCTAGTACTTGTCAAGATAAGACTGATTTTGACAGATGACCCACTCTTCTAAGAAAATGAAGGGTGGGTGGGCGGGGTTAATACTTGTCAAGATGAGACTTATTTTGCCAGATGATTTATTCTTCTAAGAAAGTAAAGGCTAGATGGATGGGGCAGTTTTTCGATTTTTCAACTTTGGAATTTTTCAATTTCTCACTTTTTAAATTTTCAATTTTTGATCTGTCTTTCCATTTTTGATTTCTCTAGGCAACTGAACAAAAATTTCGCTTTTTTAATTTTACGTATTGGCAGTTTTCCGATTTCTCAATTATTTGAGTTTTAAACATATCGAGAAAATAGTTGTTTATTTTTTTAAATTTTCGATTTTTGTTTTTTTGTCACCGAGTTTTTGGAAAGGAGTAAAAAGTAATTTTGATCATCGATTTGCGATGTTTACCGTAACTTTAAAACATCTGAAAATTTTGTTTCTAATTTTCAATTCTTGGATTTTTCGATTTTTCAAAATCTCGATTCGAATAAATTTGTTCTTTTAGTTAAAAAATCGAAAAATGACAAATCGTGAAAAGGAAAAATTTTAACTTGAGAACTTGAAATATTAAAAATCAAAAAATTCGAAAATTGAAAGTTAAAACTTGAAAAATCAAAAGATTGGATTTAAAACCTGCAAAATTGTCAAACAAATTATCAAACGAAATATTCAAAAGTTGAAAAATCTAAAAACTAAAAACTGGAATTTCGAATTCGATTTTATAAGATTTGTTTTTTTTTTCAATTTTTCGATGTTTTACTTTTGATTTTCCGATTATACAGTTGTACAATTTTCCAATTTCTCATTTACCCGATTTTTCAATTTGTCATTCTTTGATTTTTAATTTTAGCAAGTGCTAGCCCCACCCACCCAGCCTTTATTTTCTTAAAAGAATAAGTCATCTGCCAAAATCAGTCTTATATTGGCAAGTACTAGCTCCCCGCCCACCCTCCCTTATTTTCTTTGAGGATATGTCATTTGCCAAAATCAGTCTCATCTTGACAAGTATTAGCCCCGCCCACCCACCCTTTATTTTCTTAGAAGAGTGGGTCATCTGCCAAAATGGTTCTTATCTTGACAAGTACTAGCCCCGCCCACCCACCCTTATATTCACAGAAGATATGTCATTTGCAAAAATCAGTCTCATACTTGCCAAGATAAGACTGATTTTGGCCGATAACTTATTCTTCTAAGAAAATAAAGGCTGGGTGGATGGGACAGTTTTTCGATTTTTCAACTTTAGAATTTTTCAATTTCTCACTTTTTAAATTTTCAATTTTTGATCTGTCTTTCCATTTTTGATTTTTCTAGGCAACTGAAAAAAACTTTCGATTTTTTAAATCTACGTTTTGGCAGTTTTCCGATTTCCCAATTATTTGATTTTTAAACATATCGAGAAAATAGTTGTTTATTTTTTTAAATTTTCGATTTTTGTTTTTTTGTCACCGAGTTTTTGGAAGGGAGTCAAAAGTAATTTTGATCAGCGATTTGCCATGCTTACTGTAACTTTAAAACATCTGAAAATTTTCAAGTTTTTGATTTTTCGATTTTTCAAAATTTCGGTTCGAATAAATTTGTTCTTTTGGTTAAAAAATCGAAAAATGACAAATCGTGAAAAGGAAAAATTTTAACTTCAGAACTTGAAAAATTAAAAATCAAAAAATTCCTAAATTGAAAGTTAAAACTTGAAAAATCAAAAGATTGGAATTAAAAACTGCAAAATTGTCAAACAAATTATCAAACGAAATATTCAAAAGTTGAAAAATCTAAAAACTAAAAAAAAAATGAAAACTGGAATTTTGAATTCGATTTTATAAGATTTGTTTTTTTTTAATTTTTCGATATTTTAGTTTTTGATTTTCGGATTATACAGTTGTACAATTTTCCGATTTCTCATTTATCCGATTTTTCAATTTGTCATTTTTTGATTTTTAATTTTAGCAAGTACTAGCCCCACCCACCCAGCCTTTATTTTCTTAGAAGAATAAGTCATCTGCCAAAATCCGTCTTATATTGGCAAGTACTAGCTCCCCGCCCACCCTCCCTTATTTTCTTAGAGGATATGTCATTTGCTAAATAAAATAAGTCTCATCTTGACAAGTATTAGCCCCACCCACCCACCCTTTATTTTCTTAGAAAAGTGGGGCATCTGCCAAAATCAGTCTTATTTTGACAAGTACTAGCCCCGCCCACCCACCCTTATTTTCTTTGAAGATATGTCATTTGCAAAAATCAGTCTCATACTTGTCAAGATAAGATTGATTTTGGCAGATGACCTACTCTTCTAAGTAAATAAAGGGTGGGTGGGGGGGCTAGTACCTTTTCTTAGAAGAGTAGGTCATTTGTCAAAATGAGTCTTTTATTTTCTTAGAGTGTTGATTATTTGGCAAGTACTACCAATAGTGTAAATTTCATTTTTGAAAACGTTGTCTAAAAATTCTGAAGAAATTTTCCCGATGTGCTGATTCCAAAAATATGGCATGTTTATGGTAACGGAGCAATATTTTCGGAAAATTCGGTGTGAAATTCGAATTTTTTGAAATTGTTAAAAATTGCGATATTTCAGTGGACCATTCTGGAAAAACGATTGACGTTATCGAAGAAATGAAGTCTGAAGTGACTTCTGCGGCCCAAAATCTACGTGGAAGAATTTAGTTAAATTTCGAAAATCGTCGAGAATGGGTCGAAATTTGAATAATGGGAAATTTTATTTTTGAAAAAGTCATCTAAAAATTCTGATTAAATTCAGGCATAAGATCCCGACGTGCTGATACCAAAAATATGACGTGGTTATGGTCACGGGCTAATATTTTTTTCAAATTATCAATATTATCCGTTGTTGGTTGAAAATACTTTATTTCTGTTTAATAAAATTAAGATTTATTTCTTGAAATTTGTTTTCAGCAGTTTCTGAAGTTTCCCAATTAATTCGGATTATCGAGGTTAGACTGTAGTGAAATTTAAAATTGTACGTCCATCAGTGTCGGGAAACCTGGAAATTTCCCGGTAAGCCCCAAAATATTCTACTTCGGGGCCCCACACCTTACATTTCACACAGGTATACAGGAAGTTATATTTACAAATGCAATAAATTTTCCTAAAAATATAACAGACGCATAAAAAAATACATAAATATTATTAGTATTATACTAAGCACCTATCCAAAGTGATATACGTGTCCTTGCAATAATGTTGATGACGTCAGCACAAAATTTTGTCATTTGTAATAAAAATAATTGTTAGCACGCCACTGGGATGTCTAGTAACTGTCATCAGACTGTCACATTGTGCTGTCAAACCGCTGTCCTGCTGTCAGATTCAGATTGAAAATAATATATTGGGTGATTCTTTCTGCTCTATTATTGGTGTTTCTCATGGATTATCATGTGCCCCACGTGCCTCAAGTGAGTTCAATTCAAGCACCTGTTCGAATGCCAATGTTAGTTAAATTTGTTAAGGAAATTGTTTACTTATTATTTAAAGGTTATGTAGGTACAACACGAGACATCGACGATGCAGCTTTAAATAAATGCCGTACATAACTGGTTTAAAAACCAATTGGTGTTGTATTCAACTCTAGCTGAAGAGAATTTCAAGACAAATTACCTTATAAACATGTGGAAAGTTGTGTCTCTTAGCTGTCGCAGATTTCATACTGCATCCTATCAACATGCAAAAATGGGAAAAATTCTAAGTAAAGTAATGGGAATGCGCAACGCCTCAAAAAAGTAAGTTTTATGTGTACAACTGTTATGTGGCTATTTTTAAATGAAAGCGCACCACTTGAATAAAATATTTATTAGTAAAAATATAGGTGAAAAAAAAAACCTGCACACTGAACTTTAAAAGGCATTTTGTAGATTTTTATTGTCTGAATATTAATTAAGAAAACTCATTCTTTAATTTCATGTTTTTTTTTTTGTACGACATTTCACGTCTGTTGGCGATTTTACAAGATAGATAATGTTACAACATATTGCTTTATCATTATATTATCCATAGGAAGAGAATATTTAGCGAATCAGGTGTCCTACCAAATGCAGAAATGTTTAGCAAAGGTAGCAACGAAGGCAGATATTCCGGAAGCGCACGGCGCGTCTCAGTTTTAAATAAATTATTTATGAAATATATAACAGATCTGTTGGCTACAGGAGAATATTCAAAAGAATTTACTGGCCATGGAATTGAAATAAATAGGGTAATCTCGAAAATGCTGATGATATTTGCTCTTTAATGTCCTGATTTAGGTGCAAATTTCACCTGATTACACTGGACTGAACGTGTTTTGGATTGCAAATGGAACACAGAATAATGATGAAGTTGTAGAAAAATTGTTGAAGAAAAACGCCGGGTTTTTGAGGCACGAATTGTCGTCGTTAAGAGTTATAGGAAATGTACCACAGATTCACTTTCTTAAAGGTAGTCTTAAAAATGTTTATATTTTACATAAAATTATTTGAGGAAATTTATTTTCAAGATAAGCAACAGACAGAGTTAATTGAGCTCGATTCCAGACTGGCAAAAGCTGATTTTGGTGAAGATCATGTACCCCTTGAAATGACAACAAAGTTAAAAACTCAGTTAGAATTGTTTACACATTTACCTTCTGAAATTAAAGTAAATTTACATTGGTTCTAAAATTACAACCATATTTTAATCTTTGTCTTCTTTTAGGAAAAAATTCAACAGTTGGATGCCGCATTGTCAGATAATGATTTAGATGATGATGATGAATTACCTCCAATGACTCAAAATGTTTTAGGATTGGATCATTTAGAAATATTGAACAGGGTATTATTTTAATTCATGTTGTAATAATAAAATACGTGAAATTTTTGTAGATAAAAAGAAGCATGAAAAAAGGGAGAGCTTCACATAGGTGTAATAAGAATGATCCTATTATGGAAGCAATTAATGAAAATCCAATTGAATTTACAAACAATAAGGAGAAACGGGAAGCTTTTAAAGAATTTCTGAAAAAAAGAGAGGTGAGTTATTTATTTGTGATAACCTGTACTTCACCATTACTTTACAATTCAATCAAATTTTAATTATCAAAGGTTGAAAACGTCAAAAATTAAAATGATTATAAAATTTTATATTGGAAAAACTCACTTGAAACGTGGACATAACATGCTTCTTTGCGTTTTTTTTTAACACTAAACATAAATCTGTTTCTTTTGCAGTTGCTCAGATCCAATTCAAGAAAAGAAGATAAAAATTATTATCCAGATACGGAATACATAAGACAAGAGTTGGAGGAACGTCGTGCTGAATATTTCAGAAATTTAGAAATTTATGAAGACGAAGAACGTGATTACATTGAAGACAGGACTGAAGTGGATAATCGAATAAAATAAAGGATTATCAAAAGAAAATTGCTTTTATTTAATCGAGTCAACATGTACATGTTTTTTGTAAACCTACTTAAAACTATACTCTTAATCAATACTTTTTTCAGAACCCACAAAAACGTCTTTAAAGTTTTGCTATATACAAATACAAGTTCTTAATAAATGAAAAGTATAAACGTTTATTTTGGTTCTTAATGTAAAAAAAACTCTAAATTACAGCAACAATAGTCGTGGCTGAAGAAATACTTTATTTTCAAAAATGTACATACAAAAAAAAAAAAACTCAAAAATATAACAAATATAAAAAACTAACCAATTACAAATATATTAGTCATCTAGTTTTATATACTACGACACTAACTACGTCAGTGCATTTGGACGGTTTAAAACAAGACTAATGAGCATCCTTTGCTCCTTTGTTGATTAAATCTTTTCAACGTGAAATAGTTGCAATCTTATGAGTATTTTAGATATGATTTTAATAAGTAGAAAAATATACATGATGTGTCATAAGTAACTCTCAATTATCATGTTTGTTGCATACTCAGTTACACTGTTCCTATCCTTCAGACAACCACAAAATTAATGAACACAGACACGTCAAATGAAAATTACATCCCGTTTTGTAAAATCTGGAACTTATATTAAATTCCTTAACAATCCTTTTGCATTATTTAATATTTTATATTATCAGGCACAACTGTCAACAACTTTATACACCTCTTGTTATTAATATAAATTCAGATCTTAAACTTCAACAAATCCTATTAGATGCGAGTGGCATTATATTATACTGTCTTGTAGTTGGAAGTACTTTACTATTAAAATAAATGTCGTACACAGAACGATCATCATATGAGCAGAAACTCTAGACGTGGCATTATAAATCCAGCAGTATGGACATTGACTGCTACCACAAACATGACAAATGTCCAATACGTACGTGGATAAGGCATCAAATATTGTTTCGTTGAATCGTTCTGGGGCATAGTAATCATAGACTCTAATTGGCAAATAGCGGGACATGTTCGCAACAGGATACCATCTCTCAACTGTAAAGTTAATGCAAGTTTCTTCGTTGTCAAGCTGAAATTAAACAGTTTAATACAGGGGTGTAGTTAAATAAACATACTTACATAATCAAAATAAAATAAAACTTTTCTCTCCAAATATTTTGCTCTCTGTAAATTTCTAACCCGCCTGGATAGTATATAGGCGTCCAAGTCTTGTTGTTGAATAATGTAACCTGTTGGAATGGTTACGTCAAGAACTGTAAGTCCTGACCTTGGAGATTCGTTCAAATGAATCCACCTATAAACAAAAGTGTGAAAATCACGTATTTATATCTTCCATTTTTTTTATAGATCATTACTGTAGAGATGGATCATTTAAGTTCAACATGGTGAGTAATCAGGATCTGACAACGGACTGTCAGTCAGTAGCGTTACAGGCACACTTCATAAGGGGGTGGTTTTTAAATTGTTTTTTTAAATCGCAAAAAATAATACATGGAAACAGACTTAAGTGAACTGGTCAACACGCTAGCACGAATGCGAATGAATCTATTAGGCATTAATCTAAACAGGTACCCTTACGCTAGAAAAGTTCACTATGACAGAGAAACGATGACGGACGCAAAAAATCGACAAACGAAACAATTCTGCAATTTTACGAAATATTTTTCAAATTCCCGATTTTTAAAAACTGAAAAATGGGATAATTGAAAAAACAATTGAAAAATCGAAAAATTGTAAAATTGAAACCTCAAAATCCTGATTAATTAAAAATCGAGAAAGTGGAAAACTGAAAAAACGAAAAACAATAATTTCGAAATTCAAAAATTTTAAAATGAAAGCCGGAAAAAAATTTGTAACATCGAAAAAACGAAACACTGAAAAACCGAAAAATTTAAAAGTTGAGAAATCGAAGAATTTAAAAAATACAGACACTGAAAAATCGGAAAAAGCCAAAAATTGAATAATATAAAAAAAGTGAAAAATTAAAAATCGGCAAATTTAAAAATGAAACAATTACAAAATTGTAAATTTGAAAAAAAATTTAAAATAGAAAAATTGAAGAAATGAAAAAAAGAAAATCAAAAATTGGGTAACGAAAAAACAATTGAAAAATGGAACAACTGAGAAAAAGATAGAAACTCTAAAATCTAAAATTTGTAACATTGAAACCTGAAAAAGTGATAAATTAAAAATCTAGGAATTTAAAAAATCGAAAAAACGAAAAATTGTAAAATTCAACACATAGAAAATCGAAAAATTAAAAAGCAAATTAGAAAATCGAAAAATACAAAAATTTTACTAAAAAATGAACAATTTCATATGGAAAATAGAAAAACTAAAAAATGGAGAAATCGAAACACGGAAAAATCGAAAAATTATCAATTAAAAAAACGAAAAATATAAAAATCTTGAATTAAGAAATCAAAAAATCAGAGAAACAAAATAATTTGGAATCAGCTACTTGGAACTCTTGGAAGTACTTTCTTTTTAATTTTTTATTTTCTCAATTTTTCGTTTTTTAATTTTTAACAAGAGGACAAATTTATTCAAACTGAAATTTTAAAAAATCGGAAAATTGTAACACCGAAAAATTGACAAATCAAAAAATTAAAAACTGAAAAATCGAAAAAAAAAACCACTGAAAAACCCAACAATTTAAAAATTGAGATATCGCAGAATTGAAAAAATAAAGAAACTCAAAAATTGTAATATTGATACCTGAAAACCCTGATTAATTAAAAATCGAGAAAGCGAAAAATTGAAAAAACGAAAAACAAAAACTTCTATAAATTAAACAATCAAAAATACAAAAAAAAATTAATTTCAAAATCCAAAAATTTTAAAATGAAAACCTGAAAACTAATAAATTAAGAAATTGTAACATCGAAAGGGCGAAACACTGAAAAACCGAAAAATTTAAAAACCGGGAAATCGAAGTTTTGAAAAAATACAGAAACTGAAAAATCCGATAATTGAAAAGCCAAGAAATGTACACTTGAAAAAAAATCCTAATAATAATTATTTGAAAAAAGTGAAAAATTAAAAATCGGGAAATTTAAAATTGAAACAATTATAAAATTGTAAATTTGAAAAAAAAAAAATAAAAACGTAAAATCGAAAATTTGTAACATTGAAAACTGAAAAAATGATAAATTAAAAAATGGGAAATTGAAAAATCGAAAAATTAAAAAGCAACTTCGAAAATCGCAAAATTAAAATATTTGCAAATGAAAAAATCGAAACATACAAAAATTTTACTGAAAAATAAAAATCATAATGAAAATCGAAAAACTAAAAAATCGAGAAATCAAAAAATGTAAAAATGAAACACGGAAAAATCGAAAAATTAACAATTTAAAAATTTCGAATTGAGAAAATAAAAAAATCGAAGAAACGGAACAACTTGGAATTACATAGTTAGAAATATGTACTTCATTTTCTCAATTTTTCGTTTTTTAATTTTTCAACAAAAGGACAAACTTATTAAAAGTGAAATTTAAAAAAATCGGAAAATTGTAAAACTGAAAAATTGAAAAATCAAAAAATTAAAAACTGAAAAATCGAAAAAGAAACACTGAAAAACGAACAATTTAAAAATTGGGAAATCGAAGAACTGCAAAAATAAAGAAACTCAAAATTGAATAATTAAGAGGCCAACATTTGGAAAAGGAAAAAATTGTAACCTTAAAAATGAAAAAACTGAAAATTTAAAAAATCGAACACTTGCAAAATTGAAAATCAAAAACAGAAAATACGAAACTTGAAACACCGAGAAATTTAAAAATTGTAATCTTTTAAAACTTGAGAAACTGAAAACTTCGATAATTGAAAAAACAACTGAAAATTTGAAAAATTGAAAAAAAAAAGAAACAATTTAGCAATTTTTCAATTTTAAAGTTTTCAAGTTCTTGATTTCAATTTTCATCAAAATGAAATTTTGCAAAATCGAATAACTAACACCGAAACATTAAAAAATGCAACAATTAAAAATCGAGAAATTGAAAAATCGACAAAACGCAACAATTCTGCAATTTTTCGAAATAATATTTTTCAAATTCTCGATTTTTCATTTTTTAATTGTTCAACAAAAGAACAAATTTACTCAAACCGAAGTTTTGAATTGAACTGAAAAATAAAAAAAATTGAGAAATCAAAGAATTGAAAAAATAAAGAAAACTTGAAAAAACCGAAAAAATGAGACTTAACTGAAAAATGAAACTTGAAATATCGAAAAATTGAAAAATCGAAAAATTGTAATATTGAAGCTTGAAAACCCTAATTAATTAAAAAGCGAGAAAGTGAAAAATTGAAAAAACGAAAAACAAAAACTTCTGTAAATTAAACAATAAAAAATACAAAAAAAAAATAATTTCAAAATTCAAAAATTTTAAAATGAAAATCGGAAAAAAAAATGTAACATGGAGAAAACGAAACACTGAAAAACCGAAAAATTTAAAAGTTGAGAAATCGAAGAATTTAAAAAATACAGAAACTGAAGTCGGAAAATTATTTTTTATTTTCTCAATTTTTCGTTTTTTAATTTTTCAGCAAAAGGACAAATTTATTCACTAAAATTTTAAAAAATCAAAAAATCGGAAAATTGTAACACTGAAAAATTGAAAAATCAAAAAATTAAAAACTGAAAACAATTTAAAAATTGAGATATCGAAGAATTGAAAAAATAACGAAGCTCAAAATCGAATAATTAAAAGGTTAAAACAACTGAAAAATCGAAAACTTGTAATACTGAAACTTGAAAACCCTGATTAATTAAAAATCGAGCAATGAAAAATTGAAAAAACGAAAAACAAAAACAATCAAAAATACAAAAAAAATTAAATTCAAAATTCAAGAATTTTGAAATGAAAACCGGAAAAAAAATTGTAACATCGAAAAAACGAAGCACTGAAAAACCGAAAAATTTAAAAGTTGAGAAATCGAAGAATTTAAAAAATACAGAAACTGAAAAATCGGAAAATGAAAAAGCCAAAATTTGAATAATAAAAACCCTAATAATTATTTGAAAAAAGTGAAAAATTAAAAATTGGCAAATTTAAAAATGAAACAATTACAAAATTGTAAATTTGAAAAAAAATTAAAAATGGAAGAATTGAAGAAATGAAAAATCGAACATCAAAAATTGAAAAACCAAACTTGAAATATGGAAAAATTGAAAAAATTGGCAAACTGAAAACCGGATAACGAAAAAACAATTAAAAAATGGAACAACTGAGAAAAAGATAGAAACTGTAAAATCGAAAATTTGTAACATTGAAACCTGCAAAAGTGATAAATTAAAAATCTAGGAATTGAAAAATCGAAAAAACGCAAAATTGTAAAATTCAACTGATAGAAAATCGAAAAATACAAAAAATTTACTGAAAAATGCAACAATTTCATAAGGAAAATCAAAAAACTAAAAAATAGAGAAATCGAAACACGGAAAAATCGAAAAATTATTAATTAAAAAAACGAAAAATATAAGAATCGCGAATTGAGAAATAAAAAAATCGAAGAAACAAAATAATTTGGAATTACCTACTTGGAAGTACTTTATTTTTAATTTTTTATTTTCTCAATTTTTCGTTTTTCAATTTTTCAACAAAATGACAAATTTATTCAAACTGAAATTTTAAAAAATCAAAAAATAAGAAAATTGTAAAACTGAAAAATTGAAAAATCAAAAAATTAAAAACTAAAAAATCGAAAAAGAAACACTGAAAAACCCAACAATTTAAAAATTGAGATATCGAAGAATTGAAAAAATAATGAAACTCAAAGTCGAAAAATTGTAATATTGAAACCTGAAAACCCTGATTAATTAATTAAAAATCGAGAAAGTGAAAAATTGAAAAAACGAAAAACAAACACTTCTATAAATTAAACAATTAAAAATACAAAAAAAAATTGTAACATCGAAAAAACGAAACATTGAAAAACCGAAAAATTTAAGAGTTCAGAAATCGAAGAATTTAAAAAATACAGAAACTGAAAAATCGAATAATGGAAAAAATTGGCAAACTGAAAATTGGGTAAAGAAAAAACAATTAAAAAATGGAACAACTGAAAAAAATATAGAAACTGTAAAATCGAAAATTTGTAACATTGAAACCTGAAAAAGTGATAAATTAAAAATCTAGGAATTGAAAAATCGAAGCTACGAAAAATTGTAAAATTCAACAGATAGAAAATCGAAAAATTAAAAAGCAAATTAGAAAATCGAAAAATTAAAATATCTACAAATTAAACAATCGAAAAATACAACAATTTCATAAGGAAAATAGAAAAACTAAAAAATGCAGAAATCGAAACACCGAAAAATCGAAAAATTATCACTTAAAAAAACGAAAAATATAAAAATCTCGAATTGAGAAATAAAAAATCGAAGAAACAAAATATTTGGAATTACCTACTTGGAAGTACATACTTTATTTTTTTTTATTTTCTCAATTTTTCGTTTTTTAATTTTTCAACAAAAGAACAAATTTATCTAAACTAAAATATTGGAAAATCGGAAAATTGTATCATGGAAGAATACAAAAATTTTAAAATAAAAAATCCAAAAATTTCAAAATGAAAATCGAGAAATCAAAAAATCAAAACGCCGAAAAATTGAAAAATTGTAAAAACAGAAAAATTAAAAATAAAACTGCAAAATCGGTAATTGAAAAATTGAAAAAACGAAACAATTCTGCAACTTTTCGAAATTATATTTTTCAAATTCTCGATTTTTAAAAAGCGAAAAATGAAACTTGAAACATCGAAAAATTAAATAATTGAAAAAACAATTGAAAATTCGAAAAATTGTAATTTTGAAACCTGAAAACCCTGATTAATTAAAAATCGAGAAAGTGAAAAATTGAAAAAAACGAAAAACAAAAAGTTGAGAAATCGAAGAATTTGAAAAATACAAAAACTGAAAAGTCGGAAAATGGAAAAGCCAAAATTTGAATAATAAAAACCCTAATAATTATTTGAAAAAAGTGAAAAATTAAAAATCGGCAAATTTAAAAATGAAACAATTACAAAATTGTAAATTTGAAAAAAAAAAAAAGAAAATCAAAAATGGAAAAATTGAAGAAATGAAACAAATGGAACAACTGAGAAAAACACTGAAACCTGAAAAAGTGATAAATTAAAAATCTAGGAATTGAAAAATCGAAAAATTGTAAGATTCAACAAATAAAAAATCGAAGAATTAAAAACCAAATTAGAAAATCGAAAAATTATCAATTAAAAAAACAAAAAATATAAAAATCTCGAATTGAGAAATCAAAAAATCGAAGAAACAAAATAATTGGGAGTTACCTACTTGGAAGTACTTTGTTCTTAATTTTTTATTTTCTCAATTTTTCGTTTTTTAATTTTTCAACAAAAGGACAAATTTATTCAAACTGAAATTTTTAAAACTCAAATACATAATCGGAAAATTGTAACACTGAAAAATTGAAAAATCGAAAAAGAAACACTGAAAAACCCAACAATTTAAAAATTGAGATAACGAAGAATTGAAAAAATAAAGAAGCTCAAAATCAAATAATTAAAAGGTTAAAACTGAAAAATCGAAAAATTGTAATATTGAAACCTGAAAAGCCTGATTAATTAAAAATCGAAAAAGTGAAAAATTGAAAAAACGAAAAACAAAAACTTCTATAAATTAAACAATAAAAAATCCAAAAAAACATTCAAAATTCAAAAATTTTAAAATGAAAACCGGAAAACTAAAAAATTGTAAAAAAGGAACATGGAAAAATTGAAAAATTGTAACATCGAAAAGACGAAACACTGAAAAACCGAAAAATTTAAACATTGAGAAATCGAAGAACTGCAAAAATAAAGAAACTCAAAATCGAATAATTAAGAGGTCAATATTTGGAAAAGGAAAAATTGTAACCTTAAAAATGAAAAAACTGAAAATTTAAAAACCAGAAAAATCGAACAATTGCAAAATTGAAAATCAAAAACAGAAAAAACGAAAATTGAAACATTACAAAAGTTGTAGTCTTTTAAAACTTGAGAAACTGAAAACTTCGATAATTGAAAAAACAACTGAAAATTTGAAAAGATGAAAAAAAAGAAACTATAAAATCGAAAAACTGATTAATTAAAAATCGAGAAATGGAAAAATAGACAAATTGTAATTCAAAAGTTGAAGAATGTCAAAATAAACTTCGAAAAACTGTAAAATTAAAAAATCGAAAACTGAAAAATTGAAAAAATAGCGAAAGTAAAAAATCGGATAACGAAAAAAATCAACAATTGAAAAATCAAAAAATAAAAATATCTTAAAATGGAAAAATCTAAAAAACGAGAAACTGTCAAATCTAAAAATTATAACATTTAAACTTGAAAAAACTGACGAAATAAAAATCGAGAAAGTGATGATAAATCGACAACAAAAAATTAAAAGATGAAAGCAATAATATTCGACATTGGAACAGTTTGAATTTGATGTCTGCATTGTTTAGGATGTTCAAATAGATAATTATAAATACAATACAATTAGCATGTAATGAACCCTGTTAGAACGAATATAAAATAAAAAAATAAAATTGAATCGACATTGTCATTTGTTTCCCGGGATAACATTTTTTACAAAACAAAAAAAAACTTACTTTTGACAGCTGAAAAATGTAATGTGTGACATGTTCCTTCCAAAGAAATATGGCCTTATCCACAAATCAAACGCTGGCACTGGAGGTTTAGTTTGAAACTTGGCAATGTCAACATTATATTGAACATGCATCTGTAAAATGGCGTAGCCAGTTCCTTTAGCTTGTACTTTGACGGTACCCCACGCATTTGGAATGTCGATGTATTGTAGTTTTGCTCTGTTTTTATCATTTACATGTAAAACGGCTGTCTTTCCTGGCAGCGAGGTAGCTTCTATCGTTACCGACAAATTAGAAATATCACGAATTCGTTGTGCTGAGGTATACTCAATTAAAGCTTTTAAAGAATTCGCTGTATCTGAGGTAGACGCCCATCCACCATCCGTCAATCGTTGGGTGTTCAACCACCTGACGATATCGTTCATGAAAATTTCCTGCCTTGCGACATACACCATCAACGCATATGCAGTAGCTTCAATATTTTCAGAGTCGTACTCATACGGCAGCCGCGGTAACAAGAAAGGTTTTTGATTTTCGATTTTGTACGGGGGTTGGGGGATTGGTTTCCGTCCCCAATAAAGTAAACCGCCTTCTTCTCGTCGACGTCTCGACAACTCCAAGTAGGCGGCTTCAGCAAATGCTGCTTTACTCTTCAATAGGGCGTACGCCACTATGGCCACGTCGAACGCTTGACCTTGCTCTTTAATGAGATCCATGTTGCGCTCCAGCCAATGAACAGCGTTTTTCTGCGCAATCGAGACTTTCGAACTTAATCCGCTTGTTAGATCTTTTACCGAGTCCAACATTATAAGAACGTGTGCCGTCAGAGTTATGTTTCGATGGCGGATGTGATCGTTGGCGATATTGAGGGAGGCGTTGTATTTGCGATCAGGAAGCCAAGTGGTTTCGTAAAAAGCACCATACTCGTTTTGATGTTTCAGTACCCACTCTACTGCTTTGGCGATCACTGACGGATCGATGTAAATGTAGTTTTCCCATTCGTAAAAACTGGCTTCTTGGAAAATCCTAGCGCAATAGGCTGTCAACCACACGGAAGAAGCTGACTGATTCCTGCAAATATTAGAGTTAGTATAGTTAGACAATGAGTACATTCGCTGATCTGGCTTCAATATACCTGCTATACTTTATAACATGATATCGAGGGTCCCAAACCTTAACCTTAAATCGTTTTAAAATACTATTTCTTAGATATATTCTGGAATTATTGCACTTTACATCAAAATAAGTTTATGTATAAAACATAAGAAAGTCCAAAATCGTAATTTGACAGAAGCCGTTGAAAATTTTATTTTGGACAAACAACTAGGAAGCGGTGCATAAAAATATCTAAAGAGAAACCCATTGAAATCGAAAAGTCGAAAAATAGAAATATTGAAAAATCCCAAAACTGAAACAAATATCCAAAATTGAGGAATTAAAAAATTAGCCAAGCGAAAAATCCAAAAATGGAAGAATTGAAAAACTGGAAAATCGAAACTGGGAATTCGAGAAACGGGAAAATAAAAAAAATAATTGAAATCGGAAAACTGAAAATTCAGCAACGTCAAAATTTGGAAAATTGGAAAATAGAAATACTGAAGAACTGGAAAATCAAAAAATCCAAAAATCTAAAATTTAAAACCTTGTGAACAATTGAAATATCGCAAAATTGCAAAATGGAGAAACGCAAACATCAAAAAATCAAAAAAGAAAAATTCGAAAATCTAAAAATCCAAAAACTGAAAAATCGAGAAATTGAAAAAAATTGAGAAATTGATAAATTGAACAATCAAAATATCCAAACATCTGAATTCGATAAATCGAGAAATAAAAAAAATTGAAAAATTTTAAAAAAGAAAAATTAAAACACCGAAAAGTCGAAAAAAAAAGAGAAATAGAAGTATAAAACTGCCGTAAATGTGAAACATCTAAAGTTTAACGAAAAATTGAAAATCCAAAAAGTAAAAAAGGGGTGGAAAACTGCACACTGAAAAATTTAAAAATTGGAAAATCGACAAATTGGAATCGATTGGCCTGAACTTTGAAAAATTGAATAAACGAAAAATTGGAAAATCGAAAGAAACAACAAAAATTAAAGAAATGAAAAAAGAAAAAATTGTGATATAAAATCGAATTGAAGAATTGAGGGGACGAAAAATTGAAAATCGAGATTGTGAAAAATAGAAAAATGAGGAATTGTAATACTGAAAAATCAAAAAAAAAAAAAGAAAAAGTGTATAATAAAAACTTGAAAAATGTAAAAAGTGAAAATCAAACTTGAAAATTTGAAGAAAAATTGAAAAAAACCTGAAAATTTGAAAAATTGAATAACCGAAAAATTGTAAAATCGAAAGAAACAACAAAAAATAAAGAAGACGAAAAAACCAAAAATTGTGATATAAAATGGAAAAAGTGAAAATTAAAAAATCTGGAAAATGAAAAATAAAAATCGGAACAAAAAAATTGCAAAAGGGAAAATAAAAATTGAGAAACTGAAAAATCGAAAAATGAAAAACTGTAATATTGAAAAATTGCCAAATTGAAAAACTGATGCAAACCGAAAAATTGAAAATTTTGGAAGTCGAGAAATTGTAAAATTGAAAAATGAAAAATAAAAAACGAAAAATTACAAAATGAAAACTTGAAAAATCTTAAGAATCGAAAAAGTGAAAAAAAAGAAATACGTATTATGAAATAGAAATATTGAAAATTAAAGAAATTGGAAAATCGGAAAACTGGAAATCCAAAAACTCCAAAGTGAAAAATTTAAAAATAGTAAAATCGAAAAAAAAACCCACAGAAAATAAAGGAAATGAAAAAACGGGCAAATGTGATATAATTCGAGAAAATAAAAATTAAAAATTCGGCACACTGAAAAATAAAAATCGGGAACATGAAAAATTGTGGAAACGAAAAATTGAAAAATCGAAAGAAACTAGAAATAAAGGAATTGAAAAAATGAAAATTTGTGACAAAATAGAGAAAATGAAAATTAAAAAAATCAGGAAAATGAAAAATAAAAATCGAGAACTTGAAAAATTGAAAATGACAAAGATTAACAACTGAGAATGTGAAAAATCGAAAAATGAGAAACTGTAATATCGAAAAACTGCAAAATTAAAAAATTGCAACTCGAAAAATTGAAAAATCAAAAATAAAAAACGAAAAAGCATATAATGAAAACTTGAAAAATGTCAAAAGTGAAAATCAAACACGAAAATTTAATGAAACGAAAGTTTGAAAAATCGAAAGATTAAAAATTGAAAAACTTAAAATTCGAAAAAGTGAAAAAAAAAAGAAATATGTTTTGTAAAATCCAAAAACTGCAAATTGAAAAACTTTAAATGTGGAAAATCATGGAATTGAAAAATCAAAGCCTGAAAATTTGAAAATTTTTTACAGGACATTTCAATTGGGACGAAAACTTTCCCAAACCAAGCCGAGTGATGCCGCCTTAAGAACATATTTCACATGGTAATTTCTCGTAGAAAATAAGGATTTTACAGTTAGTTCCGCCCCTCGGCACACGACGAATAAAATGAAATTATCAGAATTGAGACAGGGCGGGTGGGCGGACCTTATATTTTGCCTTATGTTCTCAATATACGCAGCCATCTTTTCACAACAAGAAACTTAAAAGATGATTTGAATATCGTGTTCTTCAAAGAATAGTTACTATGTATATTAAGAAAAAAAGACAAAATATTTTCCCCGCCCACCCACCCCATCTCATTTGTGATAATTTTTTTTTTATTCTTAGAAAATTAAAACACGTTTAAAATGGTTAATTTTTGTAAGGAAATATGGATTTTGAAGTTAGGCTCCTCCCCTAGGTCTACCAACGAATGAAAACTTCATTACTATTTAGATCAGGGCAGGTATGGTTGGGGCTTAATCTTTGGCTTTAATTTTTTCTTAATATACCTAGTAATTTTTGAGTAAGACAATACTCAAAAACATCTGTTACATGGTAATTTGTCCTAGAGAAATAATAAGGATTTTGCAATTGAATTTCGCCCCTTTGGCTCTCGACGATTAAAAAAAAATCATCAAAATTGGGATAGGGTGGGTGGGCGGGGCTTATATTTCGCCTTTTTCTAAACATACGTAGTCGTCTTTTCAGAACAAGATAAATCTAAAAATCGAAATATCGAGAAATAGAAAAAAATTGAGAAGTTGATAAATTGAACAATCAAAACATCCAAACATCTGAATTCGATAAATCGAGAAATAAAAAAAATTTTAAAATTTTAAAAAAGAAAAATTAAAACTTCTAAAAGTTGAAAAAAAAATTGAGAAATCGAAGTATAAAACTGTGGAAAATTTGAAAAATATAAAGTTTAACGAAAAATTGAAAATCCAAAAAATAAAAAAGGGGTGGAAGCCCAAAAACTGCACACTGAAAAATGAAAAAATTGGAAAATCGACAAATTGGAATCGATTGGCCTGAACATTTGAAAAATTGAATAAACGAAAAATTGGAAAATCGAAAGAAACAAAAATTAAGGAAACGAAAAAAGAAAAAATTGTGATATAAAATCGAATTGAAAAATTGAGGGGACGAAAAATTGAAAAAGGGAAAAATTAAAAATCGAGAATGTGAAAAATGGAAAAATGAGAAATTGTAATACTGAAAAATTGGAAAATTTGGAAGTCGACAAATTGTAAAATTGAAAATCAAAAATAAAAAACGAAAAAGTGTATAATAAAAACTTGAAAAATGTAAAAAGTGAAAATCAAACTTGAAAATTTGAAGAAAAATTGAAAAAAACCTGAAAATTTGAAAATTGAAGACAACGAAAAATTGTAAAATCGAAAGAAACAACAAAAAATAAAGGAAATGAAAAAACGAAACATTGTGATGATATAAAATCAAAAAAGTGAACATTAAAAAATCGGGAAAATGAAAAATAAAAATCGGAACAAAAAAATTGGAAAAGGGAAAATAAAAATTGAGAAACTGAAAAATCGAAACTGCGAATTCGAGAAACGGGAAAATAAAAAAAATATATATTAATTGAAAAATCGGAAAACTGAAAATTTAGCAAGGTCAGAATTTGAAAATTGGAAAATAGAAATACTGAAGAACTGGAAAATCAAAAAATCCAGAAATCGAAAAATCTAAAATTTAAAACACTGAACAATTGAAATATCGCAAAATTGAAAAATGGAGAAACCCAAACATCAAAGAATCAAAGAAGAAAAATTCGAAAATTTAAAACTTTAAAATCGAAAAACTGAAAAATCGAAGAATCGAAACTCCAGAATTTAAAAAAATTGAAAAATCGATAAATCCAAAAATGGAAACATTGAGAAATAGAAATAAATTGAGAAATTGAACAATCAAAACATCCAAACATCTGAATTCGATAAATCGAGAAACAAAAAAAATTGAAAAATTTTAAAAAAGAAAAATTAAATCATTGAAAAGTTGAAAAAAAAAGAGAAATCGAAGCATAAAACTGTCGAAAATTTGAAAAATCTAAAGTTTAACGAAAAATTGAAAATCCAAAAAGTAAAAAAGGAGTGGAAACCCAAAAACTGCAAACTGAAAAATTTAAAAATTGGAAAATCGACGAATTGAAATCGATTGGCCTGAAAATTTGAAAAATTGAATAAACGAAAAATTGGAAAATCGAAAGAAACAAAAAAAAATTAAGAGAATGAAAAAGCAAAAAATTGTGATATAAAATCGAGAAAATGAAAAATAAAAAATCAGGAAAACGCAAAATAAAAATCGGGGAGTTGAAAAATTGAGGGGACGAAAAATTGAAAAAGGGAAAAATTAAAAAACGAGAATGTGAAAAATGGAACAATGAGAAGAAATTCGACAAACAGTAAAATTGAAAAATCAAAAATAAAAAAACGAAAAAGTGTATAATAAAAACTTGAAAAATTTAAAAAGTTAAAATCAAACTTCAAAATTTGAACAAAAATTGAAAAAAAACTGAAAATTTGAAAAATTTAATAAACGAAAAATTGGAAAATCGAAAGAAACAACAAAAATTAACGAAATGAAAAAACAAAAAATTGTGATATAAAATCGAGAAATGAAAAATAAAAAATCAGGAAAACGCACAATAAAAATCAGGGAGTTGAAAAATTGAGGGGAAGAAAAATTGAAAAAGGGAAAAATTAAAAATCGAGAATGTGAAAAATGGAAAAATGAAAAATTGTAATATTGAAAAATTGGAAAATTTGGAAGTCGACAAATTGTAAAATTGAAAAATCAAAAATAAAAAAAACGAAAAAGTGTATAATAAAAACTTGAAAAATGTAAAAAGTGAAAATCAAACTTGATTTGAAGAAAAATTGAAAAAACCTGAAAATTTGAAAAATTGAATAAACGAAAAATTGTAAAATCGGAAGAAACAACAAAAAATAAAGAAGATGAAAAAACGAAAAATCATGATATAAAATCGAAAAATTGTGACAAAATGGAAAAAGTGAAAATTAAAAAATCTGGAAAATGAAAAATAAAAATCGGAACAAAAAAATTGGAAAAGGGAAAAATTAAAAAATGGGAAACTGAAAACTCGTAAAATGATAAACTGTAATATTGAAAAATTGCCAAATTGAAAAACTAATGCAAACCGAAAAATTGAAAATTGAAAAATAAAAAACGAAAAATTACAAAATGAAAACTTGAAAAATCTTAACAATCGAAAAGTGAAAAATCAAAAACAAAAAAAAAGAAATAGGTATTATGAAATAGAAATATTGAAAATTAAAGAAATTGGAAAATCGGAAGACTGGAAGTCCAAAAACTGCAAAGTGAACAATTTTAAAATTTTAAAATTGAAAAATGGACGAACTGAAAATTCAAAGCCTGAAAATTTGAAAAATTGAACACAAAAAAATTATAAAATCGAAAAAAAAAACCACAGGAAATAAAGGAAATGAAAAAACGGACAATTGTGACATAATTCGAGAAAATAAAAATTAAAAATTCGCCACAGTGAAAAATAAAAATCGGGAACATGATAAATTGTGGAAACGAAAAATTGAAAAACTGAAAATTCGAAAAACTGAAGAAACGTAAAATTGAAAAACCCAAATAAACCACAAGAAATAAAGGAATTGAAAAGCACCAGTTTTATATTCTTTTAATGCCACAAATTTTGCATAATTTTCATTACAATTCTTCTTAGAGCCCAAAGCAACAATACATTTTTTGCAAAAATTTTGATTATCAAGCTTTTAACAACGTAACCGGTGCAACTGTACAAAGCATTTTTTTTTTCTCTCAAAGAAAGTTCTTTTTTTCTTCAAATTCCTATTTCTAGGTAAAGCTAAATTTTCTTTTCCTTTAGGAACATCATTTTCTTTTCTGTTATTATTTTTAATATAACTCAAAAACCAACTAAAGGTGTTGTTTTGTAGGTTTCGTAACTTGAGTTATTTGAAACGCCCAAATATTGAGAAACTGATAAAAGTTTTAAGTCATATTTAAATTGAATGGCCGTAGGGACCGGATGTCTTGACCGAATTAATTTTGGAAAAATACATTTTCTAAACAATCTTGAGAAAATCTCGATGTCAATAAATATGAGATTTTTTTTTCGTTCAAAAACAAGTTTTGCAGGTCTAAAATTGATGTTGTAGTCAGTACAACACCGGTTTGAATAGGCTTCCAAACTGTTTTTAGTTTAAAAATAACTTAATGAACTCTTGAAGGAATTCTATAGTTTCTCTATAAACAGCCATATCAAACTTGCTCAAAGCCAAAATAGTTGATCTAGAACTAATCAACTGAAACCACTTATGTACAACATCAATAAAAACAGCTCCTTCTACGGTGGTGAAGAAGACTGCGTAAATGACCTTCGCGAATTTTTAATTCGATTTCTTTTAGCTTGGTAGTGATGAACATGAGTTGTTAGAAAATCTTTTTGTCTGTCTAAATCTTTCATAGCCCAAGTTTTTAAAAATTGATATTTTAGCTTCAATGTCCACTTTTAAATTACATTTAAGAAAACATAATAAAACGTAATAAGTTTAGAAATAGCGTACAATTTAAAATAATAATGTTTTTAGCTTTTTTTGGTGGTGTGTAGTTAATGTCAAGCATTATCTACTTATAAAATTTTTGAGACCCTCGATATGTATGTTGAAAATTTAAATCTTTGCAACTTACCAATCGCTTCTAAACAAGCTGAACGATCCGTCAGGTTGCATAAAAGAAAGTTGTCTCTGATACCCTATATTCATGTAGTAGAAAGCCAATTTCTCCAAAGTTTTGTTTCTTTGCTGCGTATAACGCATGTATAATGTGGTGTACATATTGGCAGCAAACGAAAACATGTTCTGTTCAGCAGACTCCATAGGCAAGTGTAAAATGGATGTAGCATTTACTGGCATCGTTGGAAATATTGGACCCACAACATCACCAACAACTGAAATTCTGGCTCTATTAGATCCATAGACATAGTATCTGTCGTACTCATATGGAATGATTGGAATTTCAGTAACATTCACGTGCATATATTGGAAGGCGTACGCACGATTACTTAAGTCAAGTAACATAGATTGGTGTCTGTATTGTGGCAAACCATCAGCCTAAAAACCGTTCTAGTAAGCACGCATTAGGTACACAATAAACTATACATACCTCTACGTGTATTCGCCTTGTAATTTGATCTTTACCGATTAAAGTTGATGCGTAGACGGTGACATCAATATCTCCTAACCTCGTCGGTACAATGGGCAAATAGACGACTGCAGCGTCTTGCGGCTGTATAAAACACTCACTTAGTTAAGTACATACAAAAAAAAAAGTCAAAAATTACCTTAATATAAATAAAGAACTGATGTTCACCGAACGACGTGCGGGGATTGTACGATCGAACAACGCCATTTTCTTCAACATGTACAAACTTATAATCAGGCGAACCAAGAAGAACTACAGTAGCCTCCATTGCGTCCATCATGTAATTGAATACGGTAACTCGAATTCCGACTTGTTCTCCCTGCATACACAAATTTGGCATCTCCACATTGATAAAGAAAGGAAGCACCCCGATATACTAAAAAAAAACTTATTTAATATAACAGTTTGTAATGACGGAACAAATTACCTCAATCGCTTTATTGATCATGCCAAAACCTAGCTTTGGACTCATAGAGAAAGCAGACACCATCCAGTGAACAGGTCTTGGGGGGACGGGAATGTTAAATATGTAACGTCCATGAGGTCCTATATTAACATCTTTCCAAACCCAGACATTTTCATACTGTCGCTGAATCCGATTAAATCTATACTTTCTGAACATCGCCAATTCGGTGCCGTTATCGTATTTGCCTGAAAATTTATAAAGTAACTACGTATAAAATAAAATATTATATTATATTCACTCACATCCTGCTTCATCCGTTCCGTCAGGACAATCTTTGAAATAATCGCAGCGTTTCTCTACTCTGTAACAAGCCCCATTTAAACACTCAGCAAAGCCCAGAGTTAAATTACACCGCGACCAGCGTCTAGGTAATTCAAAATCACTAAATACGACTAATCCAGCATATTCGAATGTCCGATTTGCGTCGATTCCGTACGTCGAAGACGGAAAATACACCAGATCGTCTGGATTTCCTTCGTGAGAGGACCAAGTGTGTTGGTGTGTTCCATTTGTATTTTCATCGAAACTCGCCATTTTACTAATTACTTTGGCGTAAGTTAACTCGTTTCCGGCTTGCATTGTGTAGAATGCGCGATCGATGCCGGACAATCCTACGTACGAACCGGGCTCTCCGTAAATCGCGACTTCGACCTTATGACCAGTGCGAGCTTTTTTATTGTTGATATAAACTGTAAACTAGAATTTTGTCGTTTATATTACAGTTTGGGTTTTTTAGTTTGATTATTACCTTATTTCGACTGATTCCATTCACGGGGAATGTTAAACTGTCTACTGTGACTTCTCCATACCTACCAAGATGCCAAACAACGATAGTTGCGACTGGTGCCATTTCAGCGCTCAATGGTACAGACATAGTAGCAATATAATCGCTCATATCCTGGTCACTACTAACCAAAACTATACCTTTTGATATTATCATATAGTTAAATTTACGAATAAAGAAATTGCTCTTTATGTGGAAAATCATATTAGCACCAACCTAACGCAAAAAAAAAAACAACCATCAGAAACGATTTTTTTTTTTAGGCCAGTCCCTACGTTTTCTCAGCGGAATTTTCGCTCTATTTTCAAAATGTAATATCTCCGTTATTAACAGATCTATAGTTTTCAAATTTTAAATATATGTTGTCCATAACTTTCTTTATATAACGCAAGGGCAATTTTGTTAAAACCAGCTTGTGATCATATTATTTTTTTACTTTTAGTGAAATTTTTGCATAACGTATTTTTAAAAATCAATATCTCAATTATTAAATAAAATTTCAGAACACGGTTTTCAACACTGTTTTCAGCTTACAAAACTCCAGAAATCATACGAGATATATCGTCGATTTTATTTTTTAGAAACGATACACAGTCAAAAAAAGCGTATATCATAGAAGTTGCTAACTTTTATTTTTACTATATCTCAGTCCCAACAAATAAAGTCAAAAATAGACCTCGTAGAATTTCTCAAGTTTTGCAAGCTGAAAACAGTGGTGACAACCCCGTTCCAAAATTTCCATAAATAACTGAAATATTGATTTTTTAAAACACGTGATGCAAAAATTTCAACAAAATTTAAAAAATATATAATAATAAATTGTTAAAAAAAAACTACCTTCGCAGTCATGTAGTGAAATTTGTGGACAAGTTACATATAAAATTTCATAACCATTGGTGTATTAATAATGGAGATATTACATTCTGAAAATATATTGACAACACCATAAGAGCCAAACGTAGCGACTCCTCTTAAGTTAATAGAATTACCTGTGGGACTATGGTACTGGTGAATACCTTGATGTGTTGATTGTTAGGACTATGATGTGACAACAACAGCAATTCAGTTTCAGCGAGATTACCTAACCCATCTCTAAACCTAGCTTGTATTCGTATTGATCCTGAAATATATCGCTATGTTGTACCACAAGTAACATGATCATGTTTTGAAACTAACCGCTTTGACTCGCCGCATCGAATGTTCGTGTTCCTTCCAATCCCAATTCCGTTTTAATGTCAAACTTGTATTCCCAAACACCTGGATTTCCATTTAGCATTAACAACTGACGACTTGGTAGATCACGTCTTCCCGCTGCACTTTCAACATAAGCAAAAACTTCCATAATACCATTCGTCAATCTTTCTAACGGTAGAGAAGAACCATCATGGAACGAGGCAGCCACCTATATTTAAAAAATAAATTAATTCGCACTTAATGTACAGAAAAAATAATTACGTAGGTTGTTATAGGCATTCCGGGTTTATAAACTTGTGGAGATCCGCCCAGGAACGACAGTTTTATAGAGGAATTAAATATTCGGGCGGTGGAATAGCCTTCTATGACTTCATCCAAAAATCTTTCGCCAACTGTGGCAACAATAACCACTTCCATACCGTCAAGCGTCGACACATAATTCAGTAATTCTCGAATTGGATATTTAAACTCGTACACTCCATAAAACTAAAACATTTTTATCATCAAAAAAATCTTGTCAAAAATAAAAGTATTTACGAATTTAAGAGATGGAATCGGCTCGTAATAATTTTCAGAAATCTTAAACCAAAACGGCATGTGTTCATCCTAAAACACACCATTAAACAATTGCCGACGCTTCGTTAATTAAGCACTCACAAAATTAAAATACTTTTCTGCAATTGGTCTATTATAATCCCTGTTATTGTAATCATCGTATCTGTTTTCTAACTCGTCATAATTCTGAGGTCCGTACCTTCTATCATCATTTCTGTTATACATTCTATTATCATAATATCTTTCTTCGTCTCTATTTCTATTCCTATTCCTATTACGATTTCGTATTCTGTTTGTTTCAATTGGCTTGATCGGTCGAACGATAGCTTTTAATGTCAGGTTACCCCTTACCGGTGCACCGCTCGTATAGTTAGCCATAACCACCCCTCGAATATATTCTTCAGTATTCAAAAAGAACGCCGGCATCGTAACGTTAACTTCAAACCGAGTTTGATAATACTCTTCGACCAGAAACGTTGACTCTTCCACTTGATTTTGAGCGATTACTTTGACCCTCCATTCCCCGAAAACTGGTTGATCAGACAACTGATAATCCAGACTGACCGTACCCAGATTCGATTGCCTTGACAACCACCGTTTCATAATATGGCCGTTCGGATCCAACATAAAAACGTCCACTGCTTCATTGAACGCTTTCAGTTCAGTGTTAATCGGGATTGCTCGGAAACGCACTGAAAACACACACTTTATTCCATTGCCTGTAAACCAACAGTAAACAACTCACCCTTTTCCCCTTGCATATAGACAGGTTTATCAAGCTGTATAAAAATAGTCATGGATCTTTGGGAGAAAATTAAATTAGTCTCGTTAACAAAATAAACAACTCCTAAAACATCGTCGTACAACCCTTCTACTCTAAGTTTATAATCGCCTGGAACGCTTGTGGGTGGTACCCTCATTAAAAGTGTTTCTGGGATTCCCTGTTTAACGACTTTGTGATCTTCTGTCATTTCTACCCCGTTACGGGTTATGGAAGCGCGGACAGTGAGGGGTTCTTCTTCTTGTAAAATTGTGGCAACTACTCGGTACAGCTGTCCAGGACGTACGGTTTTAGACGCTACGATAAAGTAAGTTCTGGAAGGAAATTCTTTATTATCGGGATTTTCTGGTGGCAGCACTTACGCTTCTCTGATGATCGTGGGGTCGATTTCATTTCTGCCGGCACCAAAAAACCCATTGTTATCCTGCTTCCATGGAACATTTGGAGTACGACCGCCAAACTGATCCGCTTTTCCGAATTGAGGATCATACTGACCCGGTGGCGGATTGTATTGGCCATTGTTGGGATCAAATTGGCCGCTTTGTGGGTTATATTGTCCACTTGTGGGTTCATACCTATCTAAAGTTGGTCCATTTTGATTATCGTGCCCATATTGACCGTCTCTGTTGTATTGATCACCACTGTGTGTTGGTTCTTGCGTAAACGGACCGTTGTTTACATCGTAATTACTAATAGTGCTACTAATATCATTTTGATTATTGCTATTGATGTTGATATCTTGAGCCGTCACGGAGGAGGCAATCAAAAAAATCCAACCCCATGTCCTTAATTTGAACCTCATTACCGGTTGGTTACCTGTAATTATGATGTTAAAATATACTAAATCTATTGACTTCATGGTGGATGGGTTGTTTTGTAGACCATAAAATTATTTTCGGATCAATTAATCAAGAGTCGGTAAAAATTAAACCCCAACTTCCGATTAGGTAAGATACAGGCCTGACCTGACCCACTGTTGGCATAAATCCAGCAATACATAACAACAAAACTTATTAAACAAATAAACTCTTATCAACACAGTACTAACATAAGAAAATAATAGTATAAACTTCAAGAAATGTGCAGACGAGTTTCGTCTGTTTAACGAAAATTAGGGTTTTCTGGGAAAAGGAAACACATTAAAGGCACCCACAGTGTAAATAAATTGGAAATACGATCTTCGAGATCTACAAAACTTTCAAATTACAAAAAACAGAACACGAAAAATGTGGAACGTAAGCGCAAGATGCATCCGGTTTAGTAGCTGTATACAAATACCTCCACTATTCCACACGTGCATGGAATTGTTAGCTGAGTAGTACGCCTCCCCTAATCTTGACTAATGCTCCAAATCGCAGGAACGAAAAGCAAATACTCGCCAGGAACACGGTTTATAGACAAATTTTTTTTTTTATTTTCTCAACGTTTTACAGCTTGTAGGATATGAAATCTTAGGTCTTCCGTTTAAGTCCTTTAATAAATATACAAACAGTGCAACTTTTTTATATAAAAAATTGTCAACTGATCACGTTTTGTAAATAAGTGCGGATGTTAGACTTCTTTTTTAAATGAGTAAAATGAATGCGACATCCATCCAATTGCTCCTACACAAAATAAAAACTTCCGCTTAATTATTTAATTGAATCGAAGCTGCACCCCACAAAGGGTAAAATATTGTTGCACCGTGTGAACTGAATCTTAATAGCTATTATAGCGGTTTAGTTAATTTTAGTACATTTGGTAAAACTCAACTCTTAAATAGGACAGCCAGAAATTAACGCACGTACCTTAATATAAATGGTTAGAATATATTCATTACCCACACAGAAAAAATCAAATAAATTTTAGATTTGTTTATACAGGTGGTTCAAAAAAATTAAAGAATGGGTCAATTTATTTTATTGATTAAATCAGAAACGACTCACAACCTTCGAGCCACAAAATAAATAAAAACATATTGTTTAAAACTAAGAGAATAACTACAAAATAATAATTATAGTAATGTAATAATTAATTCTGCAAAATTGAATTCTGTAAATGAATTTTAGTATGATCACGACTTGATAATAATTTTAAATCAGTGTTATAAAATAATATTATTGCGACCTCAGATCAAGGCCACTTTTATCCGTATGCACTACGCTGCAAATTTTATTTTTTACATAATTCGCAAGAAGTTCAGACGGACCCGAGTTTATTTAAGGCAATATGTAAGCCTTTAACCACATGGTGATTTATCAAAGCCACTGAACTTTGTGAGTCTGTTTATTTTGGACACGCGATATATTTAGAATATCGTCAGCAAAAATATTTTATATTTAATTTATACCTAATTTATCTTACTTGTACTGCAGAGTTAGCTAAAAGGCAGCTTTAGATTTTTAACTTTCATTGAAAGGAGTCAAATACCTAGGAAAACTTTAGATCGACGTAAATTTGGAAAGAATCAGTCTGTTTTAACTAATTTTGCGACATTGTAAATTATATATAACTTAAGTGTGACAGTCTGCCCAACTTACTGTTCACTGTGAAATCTTTTAAGAGTATCGTGTATACACAAAAACGTTGACCAAACATTTGATGCTGTCATCTCAATTTAAATAGCTGATTTTATTATTCTATAGCTTTTATGATTTTGAAAAATTAATAAAAAATCAATATATTTTATACGATTCTTGTTTTAAGTCAAAACGAACAAAATACTAATTCGGACAACAGTAAAAACTATTTATAACCTTGCGTTTATATGTTTAACTTTTGTGTGTATACGAAACCTTCACAAAAGGCTTCGTCTGATTTTGGTATACATGCTCTTTACATAGAGAGAATCCTAAACAAATAACTATCTTCTAAAAGTAAACAGGTATTGAAACAGAATATTTGGGAATATGATATCAGATACAAATTACGTAAATATAGGGGGTATTAATTTTTTATTGGCTCTCGATGGTATTGTCGGAAACCGTAAAAGATACCGAGGTTGGTTAAGCTGTAAAAAAATGGCTATGGAGCATCAGTTGATTTTATGTCAAAACATCCAAATTTTTTCAACAAAATTGTACATTTTTTTACATTTGCATTTTTTAAATTTTGGGGAATTTTATCATGGTCGGTACGGCAAATGTCAAATTGTGATATTTAACCTTATATGTTGCTGATTCCAAAAATATAGCGAGTTTATGGTCACGGAGCAACATTTTCCAAAGAATCGCTACGAAATGCGAATTTTTGAAAATTTCTAAAAATTTCGATATTTCAACGGACGATTCTCGAAAAACGGTTGGAGTTATCTAAGAAACAAGGCCTCAAGTGAGTTCTAGAGCTCGAAATCTACAAGAAAATGTATTCAGTTAAGTTTCGAAAATGTCAAAGAAGGGAAGACCATTGAAAAAATTTCACTTTTAAAAAAGTTGTCTAAAAATTGCGAAAATTTTCAGGGGCATAGATCTCGACATGCTGATTCCAAAAATATCGCGTGTTGATGGCCACGGAGCAACATTTTCGAAAGAATCGGTAGGAAATGCAAATTTTTGAAAGTTTCTAAAAATGTCAATAATGCAGCTGTCGATTCCGGATGAATGGTTGCAGTTATCAAAGAACCGAGGCCCGAAATGAGTTCTCGAGCTCGAAATCTACAAGAAAATGTATTCAGTTAAGTTTCGAAAATGTCAAAAATTGGCCGAAATTTGAAAGAATTTCACTTTTAAAAAAGTTGTCAAAAAATTGCGAAAAAATTCAGGGACGTGGATATCTACATGCTAATTCCAAAAATATAGCGTATTTTCTTAGAAGAATGAGTCATCTGCCAAAATCAGTCTTATCTTGACAAGTACTAGCCCCGCCCACCCACCCTTATTTTCTTAGAAGATATGTCATTTGCAAAAATCAGTCACATACTTGCCAAAATGAGATTGTGTTTGGCAGATGACCTACTCTTCTAAGAAAATAAAGGGTGGGTGGGCGGGGCTAGTACCTTATCTCAAAAATTATGAAACCGAAATATTGTGATATCAAAAAATTCTAAAAAAATTTTTCCATTTTTTGATGTTTCGATTTCGCGATTTCAAAATTTTTCGATTTCGATTTCTCAATTTCTCAGTATTTCAATAATTCATTTTTTCGATTTTTCGATTTTCCAATTTTTCAACTTTTCAGTTTCGGAATTTATTCAAATTTTTTGATTTTTCAGTTTTTCAACTTTTGGTTTTCTAAATTTTTGGATTTTTCGATTTCTCAATTTTTCAATTAATCGATTTTTTAATTTTTCGACTTTTCGATTTTGTTCTTTCAGATTTCTCGATTTCTTAATTTTTCGATTTATCAAATTTTCAATATTAAAATTTTGGAATTTTTCAATATATATTTCGATTTTTAAATTTTTAGATTTTTCGACTTTGTTTTTTTTATTTTTATTATTCGATTTTTCAAAATATTGCGTCTTTTTAAACCTTACGTTTTTCAGTTTCTTGATTTTTCGATTTGTTGATATTTTGATTCCTCGATTTTTTAATTTTCAATTTTTCGAAATTTAAATTTTAGATTTTTTGCTTTCTCGTTTTTCGATTTTTCAATTTTCAATGTATCGTATTTTAAAGTTTAAATATTTCAATTTTGAATTTTCCCATTTTTCGATCTGTAGCTATTTCGATATCTCAATTTTTCGATTTTTGGATTTCTCGACTTATCGATCTTTTGATGTTTTTGATGTTTCGATTTCGTGTTTTTTCAATTTTTCGAATTCCATTTCTCGATTTCTCAGTATTTCAATAATTCATCTTTTCGATTTTTCGATTTTCCAATTCTTCAACGTTTCAGTTTTGGGAATTATTTAAATTTTTCGATTTTTCAATTTTTGGATTTTACGATTTCTTAATCTCTCGATTAATCGATTTTTTAACTTTCCGATTTTTCGATTCGTAAATGTCAAAAATTGGCCGAAATTTAAGGTAGGGGGGACCATTGAAAAATGTTCACTTTTAAAAGTTTTCTAAAAATGCGAAAAGATTCAGGGACGTGGATATCGGTATGCTGATTCCAAAAATATAGCATGTTGATGGTCAGGAAGCAACATTTTCGAAAGAATCGGTAGGAAATGCGAATTTTTGAAAGTTTCTAAAAATTTCAATATTGCAACTGTCGATTCCGGAAAAACGGTTGCAATTATTAAAGAAACGAGGCCCGAAATGAGTTCTCGAGCTCGAAATCTACAAAAAAATGTATTCAGTTAAGTTTCGAAAATGTCAAAAATTGGCCGAAATTTGAAGGGGGGAACAGTGAAAAAATTTCACTTTAAAAACGTTGTCTAAAAATTGCGAAAAAATTCAGGGACGTGGATGTCTACATGCTGATTCCAAAAATATAGCGTATTTTCTTAGAAGAATAAGTCATCTGCCAAAATCAGTCTCATCTCAAAAATTATGAAACCGAAATATTGTGATATCAAAAAATTCTAAAAAATTAAAAAAAAATTTTTCGATTTCGATTTCTCTATTTCTCAGTATTTCAATAATTCATCGTTTCGATTTTTCGATTTTCCAATTTTTCAACTTTTCAGTTCAGTTGGAATTTATTTATTTAAATTTTTTGATTTTTCAATTTGTCAACTTTTGGCTTTCTAAATTTTTGGATTTTTCGATTTCTCAATTTCTCAATTAATCGATTTTTTAATTTTTCGATTTATCAAATTTTCAATATTAAAGTTTTGGGATTTTTCAATATGTATTTCGATTTTTAAATTTTTAGATTTTTCGACTTTGTTTTTTCTTTATTTTTATTATTCGATTTTTCAAAATATTGCGCCATTTTAAACCTTACAT